GGTGGGCTGAATATAGTATGAAATCCTAAAACTCCTACTCATTCCTCCATCACCTTCCACATCTCTCTCAACTGAACAATTACATTATTAAATCACGCCGAATTGCTGCAGTGTTCGTCTTTGCGTGAATAGCTCGTGTTCTCAGCTTAATCCTTGAATCATGTCTATAGTGAGTGATAATCTCCTAAACTTTCATAAACATACTTCTTCTGAATGATTTCTGCTATAAGATTTTTATATAGTAGAAAAAAACTGTGTTAAACAAGAGAACGGTACTAATTGGATCAAGACGAGCCAATTTATCTTAAGCTGTGCATGATCACTTTTTATTGCTCTCAATTCACTTGAATGTAATGAAGCTCAATTTGACGCACTATCACACATGCATAAAAGGTTCTTCATTCACAACACACACACACACACACACTCAACAACACACACACACACACAATCACACACACACGACACACAACACAGCGCGCACGCACGCACGCCACGTCACGCAGCACGCACACACACGCACACACACATTGTCACACACTTACAAATCATGGTGATCCAAATCGTGGGGGTGGGCATTTGATATTGATGTTCCCCCTCTGAAATTTCGATTTCAAAAAATTTCTGGGGGAGGGCCAAGAATTTCAAATCTTCGCGTGATCGCTACTCGTGTCCCCCCCACATTTCAAAATCGATTTGCGCGCCTGATGCTTACTATCTGCAATTGCACCATAGAACACATACCGCATAGGAAAGCACATACTCAGGAATAGCTATCGATGAAAATGTATACCCTCTTGTAATGCCTCTTTCTATAATACGATATTGAGCCCAATCTTTTAAGTAATGCGATTCCGTGCAAGTTCTTTGCCGTTGGTCAGCGCTAGTATCGTCCTTGGAAAGTAGGGTATGATGCTAAACAAAATATAGTCGTATATAATTTTGTTGAAATTACACACCTGCAGTGAGCAAATACTCATGAGTAGAAAGATAAGCAAAATGTGACCCAAATGATTCATTTCACGAGGTAGAAAATATTTCAAACCTATATTAACAGGAGCGATGCATTATTATGTCTTATATGTCTTCGTATGGCTGTGTACACACCTACTGTCTGCTAACACTAGTAACAGTAAACACAATTTATGAGAATTATATATTTCAAAGGAGAGGAGATTGTCAAGAATAGGATTCTATGGGAAATGTGTGATGCATTCCTTTTCTTATATAATAAGAGGATCCTCAATCTTTTCAGCCTTGTCACTGATCTTTTAACCTGATTCCGTACTTTTCTGTTGCCGTTGTAGTGTCGCGCATGACAAATGTGCATGATGCTATGGGAAACAAATTCATACATAATTTCGTTGAAATCATACACCTGTAGTTATAGCTTATACAGATTTAGTTAGATGTGTGAAATGTTAATTCCAATCCCTCACTTCATTAATTATAATGCGGAATATTTTCCAAACGTCCAATGTACCTCAAACTTACGGCAGGCTATAGGGTGACATGTTTCTTGTACGCATGCTTACTCTCTCTTAACAGAAATAACATTTTGTTGAATTATTTATTTAAAATAGAGAGAACAGGCTCATGAATATGTTTCAATAAAAATGCTAAACATAAGAGCTCCTTTATATAATAATTGGGAGCTCAATCTCTTCAGCCTCCCGATTTCATACTTTTTTCGTTGCAGTTGGTGGGCATTAGTGTCGCGCTTGACACGTACCGAATGTATGTTGCTAAATGAAATATATTCACACGTAATTTAGTTAAAACTACACACCTGTACGAATCACATACTGCGGAGTAAGGTGATAGGAAAACTGTGACCCCAATGTCTCACTTTATGAGCGGAAATTATTTCAAAACTTCTTCACATGAGCGATGCATTATAGGGTGAGACATGTCTTTGCGCATACCTACTAAAAAAATTGCATTTCGTTAGAAGTAAAAGGAGAGAGGGCATACTCATTATTAATGTTCTATAAATAATGTAAAGCGCCTTGCTTTCTCTATACATAAGAGGGAGCCCAATTATCTCAACATTCCCGATTACTCGCAACACCGAAAGAAATTATGTACACGTACATGTACGT